ACTAGACTTCAGGGGGACTGAGCCGCGATTGCCCAAGAACAATTTTCAGCATGAAGAGTTTGCGGTTCCCGGTCAGTCCCCCAGCGCCATTTAGCCATGATTCTATAGAACTATTTTCGGCATGAATACTTTGCGGTTCCCGGTCGATCACCAGCGACACTTAGCTGCGATTTTATGGAACCGTTTTGGGCATGGGACCATGCTTGCAGTCAGTAAAAACTATGACTTACAGGAAATTCCTGAACTGATCTGGTTGATTTTTGGATATGTTGGTCACCCAGATCAGGGGATGTAACGTTTGTGGGGATGTTATGTGTTTTAAGATATTTTGGGGGTTTTGTACAAATTTGTGTTTTTTGTGTTTGGTGATAATGGAGTTTAGTATAGTGCTTGACTACAGTATCTCCTAATTAAAGGGCAAGGCTTATTGTATTGTATATGGGATTGGCATGCATTGTAACCCTGTTATTGGTTTATAATTTTGAATTGCTGTCCCCAAGGGTATACCCCTTGTATGGGGATTGGCATATAAGGCCAAGTATGGCTCCCGTTAAACTGAGATTTGTTTACCCCTTCATGAAGTCTTGCCTCATGTTTGGGGAATTGGAGAACTGTCCCAGTACCAAAGAGACCACGTGTAACATATAATAGAAGAAAATAATCCAGGCACTCCAAATTGTTCCAAACCAATAGGCAACTTTTATTGGACCCAAGAACCACACAACGTTTCGACCCCTTAGGGCCTTTATCAAGCTAGTGAACACATCTCTCAAGCAATATATAGGTACACAAAATAATTGAACAAGTGATGAAACGTGAACAATTACAATTAATTAATCATATAATCAATCAATACTCGTAAAACAATTGTCAAACACAATCATCTCTCCAATAAATGTTCCACTTACTAAAGATGTCATATATCCCAGGATTAACTAGCCAATGAATTAAGTTCTCAAATTGTTCAACTGATGAGATAATTTCATTTAATGATATACAAGGGCTAGATAGTTTTAATAGATTGAATTAGATTAAATAGATCAAATATTCTTCTATTATATGATACACATACATACAGACACACAGGCATACATAGTGACAGACAGACACATACTAACATACATACAGACACACATGCATGAGGACATACAGACACCGACATACATACATACATACAGACACTAACATCCATACACACATTCATAATGGTATACAGACATACAATCATACATGCATACAGTCATACATGCATACAGACACTGACATCCATACACACATGCATATATACAGACATACTGACATCCCTACACACAGACATTCATTGATACTGACATACACACATACATTCATAATGACATACATACAGAAACACAAACATACATACTGACAGACATACATACACAGAGACATACTGACATACATACATACAGACACTAACATCCATACACACATTCATAATGGTATACAGACATACAATCATACATGCATACATTCATACATGCATACAGACACTGACATCCATACACACATACATTCATAATGGCATACATACAAACATAAATATATACAGACATAATGACATACATACAGACACACAAACATACATACATTCATAACGAAATACATACATGCCATCAGACACACAGACATACATACAGACGTATATACTGACAGACAGAACTCATTTTCCAGCCATCCTCCTGTTTCTTACCTTTTCTTTGCAGGAGGGTGGCTGGGGATGATTGGAGTTGGTACGGCTCTCCCTCACTGCCAGGCGTGCGCTCCTCCCGCGCGGAGTGAACTGGGAGGAAGTAACCACTTCCTCCCGGCAGCACTTGCTACGGCTGCTTTTTTTTTTTTAAAGGGGCCTGGTCGCGCTTTACCACAGACACAGTGCTGACCGAGCCCCTGAAGGAGGGGGAACATCGGGTGGACTTAAGTGCGTGGGCCACCCGATAAGCACCATCAGCATGCGGGCCCCAGTACAACTGCACCGGCGGCAGTTGCTATTCTGGACCGGCTGCAGAGGCTATGAATGTGTTTTTCAGGAGCACATGGCGCTCATTGCCCTGGTGAGATTATCCATACCAAATCACCTTCCCAGATAGTTTACTCAGTCACAACTCATATGTAAGAAGATCTGGCGGTGTTTATTCGTCATATGATCTGTAGGATGTGCAGTTACGACAGGTAAAAGAACAACTCCTCCATACAGGATAGCAGAGAAACAAGTCACATATGAATGTACAGCATAGAATACACTAGAACAGAAAAAGGGGAGGGGAGTACCTGGAGCAGCATGCAAACTATGGAGTGGCCCAAGGGACAAACTTAAGATGAACATTAAAGAAACAGTACATTATAATAAAACAATATCATGTAACATGACACTCCCCGCCTGAAATCTTTAGATTTCAAAGTCTATATATATAGGTGTATATAAAGATAAGTCCAAATGTCTAAAAGTCCAACTTGAACCTGTAAGTGAAGAAAACATTGGAAATAATACTGGTGTGTAGACCATAAATACGAGATACCTGCAAAACAAAGAAGGTATGCAGTAATGAACAATAAAACATGAAGTCCAATAACAGATGGCTAAAGTCCTATAGTCTGCAGTTTATAGCCGTGGAGCTTCAACAGTGGCATAGTTAACAGTTATAGCGGTGTTCTCCCCGCCATAGTACCGTACCGCCTGGTACTCTAGCATAAGTCACTAATTTGGGAGAAGAAGTACCAATTCTGTGATTGGTCGTGAGAAAGTCCGTGTGGAACCTCCTTTGGTTATCTTAATCTCAACCTTCCGAACCTTTCCATCATCGCTGGGCATTACGCTTGTTACGAGACCCATAGGCCACTCATTGCGACAGACTGCTCTATCTTTCAGAAGAACAAGGCCGCCTACTTTGAGGTTGGGCTTGGGTGTTTGCCATTTGGAACGGCTTTGAAGGATATGCAGGTACTCCTTTCTCCAGCGGTGCCAAAACACGTTGGCTAGGTGTTGCACCTGTTTCCATTGACGCCTGTAGATATCCTTTGCGTCAATCTCAGCAGGAGATATCACAGTAGTCCCAACCTTCTGAGTAAGGAGTGTGGCTGGGGTAAGAATCACTGGAGAATCAGGATCAGAAGATACTGGTACTAGAGGCCTTGCATTAATGATGGCGGATACTTCCGAGAGAAAGGTACTCAAAGTCTCATGAGTCAATAGTGAAGACTTGCGGTCCTGTAACATGGAATCGAAAATTCTTTGAGCGATCCCAATCATTCGCTCCCAGGATCCTCCCATATGTGAATAATGTTGTGGATTAAACAGCCAAGTACATCCATTGTTTGCTAAGAAATTGTCTAGTTGAAGTTCTTTACAGGCTCCAACGAAGTTGGAACCACAGTCGGATCTTAGCTGCTTGACAGGTCCTCGGATGGAGAAGAATCTTCGTAAAGCGTTGATGAAACAAGAAGAATCCATTGACTCAATCACTTCAATATATACAGCTCGTATGCTGAGACAAGTAAACAACACAGCCCACCTTTTGCTGTTGGCTGCTCCACCACGAGTCTTTCGCGTTACCACGGTCCACGGACCGAAGACGTCAACTCCAACGTAGGTGAAGGGTGGATCTGTGCCTAAACGATCAGCTGGCAGGCTTGCCATTTGTTGTAGCTGGTGTCTACCTCTTAACTTGCGACACTTGACGCATTTGAAAAGCAGGGAAGAAACACATCTTTTCATTCCGACAATCCACAAGCCAGCTGACCTGATAGCGCCTTCTGTAAATTGTCTACCTTGGTGTTGTATTAGTTCATGATGGTGCCGGATTAGAAGAGTGGCGATGTGGTGCTGACCTGGTATGATGATAGGGTTTTGTTCCTTGCTGCACAGGTCAGATTTCTCTATTCGACCTCCAACTCGCAGCAACTGATTGTCATCGACCACAGGGCTTAGTTTAAATAGTGAACTATCCTTTGATAGAGGTATTCCACCTTTGAATCTGTGGAATTCTTCCATGTACGCTTCTTGTTGTACACAGTGAATGATAACCTTTTCGGCACGCTCAATTTCCGTTGCGGTAGGATGGTTTGTTCAGATATGCCAACCATGACACTCTGATATTGAGCTCCTTTTAAAACAATGGGCAACGTGAATCAAATAAGCAACAGCCCTAACAGCTGATGACCAGGTTGAGAAACGTTCAAAACGATGTGACTTGAGGTTTGGTAGCTTCTCTCTCGGGAGGCGAAAGGGTAGGGGTGCTACCCAACTGTTGGAATCTTCCTGAAAGAACTCGTTGTCCATTACTTTAAGGAATTCTTTGTCTTCTACTGAAGGAGCTAACATGTTGTATTCACTGCTTGTATTGAAAACTGTAGAGCCAAACCTGTCATCGTATGTGCGGGAAAGGTTTGTGTTGTCATGTTGCAACTTGCAGCTAGTTACCTTCTCCTTTACTCAGTAGTGATGTGGGCATGGCTCAAAGTGAGTATTACGACCATTCGGCAATACGTTTGTCTTGAATGAAGAAATCTTAGTAGGCCTTTTCATTTTGCCTATACAGACATTACCTATGATGACCCAGCCTAAGTCCAGGTACTGGGCAAATGGAGCATCTGGGGGTCCGCTGACCTGCCTGTGCACCTTGTGGACCCTTAGAATATCTCTTCCCAGCAGAAGAAGGATTTTAGCATCTTTGTCAAGTGGTGGGATTTCACTTGCTATTGACTTTAGGTGAGGGTGGAAGAAGGCAACTTCTGGTGTAGGTATTTCTTCTTTGTTGGCTGGTATCTGGTTGCACTCTACAAGTGTAGGTAAGGGTAATTGTAAGTTATCTCCTAGAGAGGACACAATACATCCATGTGCCCTTCTTCCAAAGACCTCTGTAGTGCCGCTACAAGTGCCTAAGGTGTAAGGATGAACCTCTCCTCTTATGCAAAATAGATCAAACAGTTCAGATCGGGCAAGTGATCGATTGCTTTGATCATCTAAGATAGCATACACCTTTAAAGTCTTTTCTGGTTGATCCTTGTGGTGAACATTCACTAGGCATATTTTAGCACAAGACCTGTCACGGTGGTCTTCCCCACACACTTCCGTGCATGAAGAAAATATCATGGTGGGATTAGCCACCTGATCTGTAATTTTCCCGTCGTGATTTGGCCTGGGAGAAAGGTTTGCAAGTAGTGAAGGATTGGACTCAAGTGGATGGAGAGCTTGCACGTGGTCCTCGAACCGCACTCTATGCACTTGATAGGGATTTTACATTCCTTGGCAAAGTGATCAGTGGAAGCACAGCACCTATAACATACCCCAAAGGTCTTTAGGAGTTCCTTTCGTTCTTGTAGGGGCTTCTTCCTAAAGCCGTTACATTTTTTGAGGGGATGTGGCTTCTTGTGGATGGGACATAATCGGTTTGGGTTTTCGATCTTGCCACTCTTGTTTGAGGCGGGAGTTGAGGTGGGAGCGGGAATAATGTCTGTCTTCTTAACAGACACGGGACCTCTATGGTTACTGTAGCTGATATGTAGCTTGTCATCTTTCAGTGAGGGAGTACTGAACTCACCAAATGCAAAACTAGGATCGTTCTTGGTGTCAGCAATGTTCCTGACAAATTCACAGAAGTAGGAGAAAGGGGGAAATGAAACCTTGTTTTCCCGTTTGTACTTGGACCCAATTTGGATCCACTTTTCTCGTAGGCCATACGGAAGCTTGTAAATGATAGGGTTAACTCCTCGAGCAGTGTCCAGGTAACTGAGGCCCGGTAGTTTAGGATCAGTTTTGGCAAGCTGGACTTCGAGAAGAAGGTCACTGAGTCTCTGGAACTCTTTATTGTCCTTACCGGATATCGTTGGGAAATTTTCCAATCGTTTGAGCAATGCATTCTCTATGGCTTCAGGACTACCATAATTCTGTTCTAGACGCTCCCATGCAGCGGTGAGACCTGCAGTTGGATTGTCGATGTAGACTGACCTGAGGCTCTTGACACGTTCTGTAGATTGTGGGCCAAGCCACCAGAAGATCCAGCTCCTCAGCAGCAGTAATACCAAGATCACCTATAGTAGTTTTAAAGGCAGCTTTCCAGCTTCTGTAATTTTCGGGATGGTCATCGAAGCTTACTAGGCCTGACTTGGTGAGCTCTCGTCGAAGTATATACTTTACGAACTCTGCTGTATCAATTGTCTCTGACTTTACGTAGGAGGTCACTGGTTGAATGTTGCGGATTGCGTTGTTTATGGTATTGTTGTGAAAACACTTTGGAAGATATGGTGCAACAAGGGGGTTCAGCTGAGTTGTTGGGTTAAAGTCTGGAACGGTACTATTAGCAGGAGGTTGGTGACTTGCTTGCAGATTGGCATGCAATTCTGTGACATATGCAGAATCAGCATGACAGTCAGGCGCTGCACTGGGGTGGTTTTGCATGTAGGAAGTTGCTGGAACAGCTTTTGCCTGGTGGTGTGGTGAAGTCCTTGTGTTGTCGTGCAGAATGGAGGCAATTGAGTGCTCGCTGCTGTGGTTTAGAACATAGTTCTTAGTGCGTTCGAATGGATCTTCCACGTCTGCCTTGACGCTGACCCTTTCACTAGCATTTTCATCTGCACCGATAGCTTGTTCCAAAATCTTTAGTATTGCTTTAGCTGCCTCGTAGTTGCTCTGTTCCTTTAAAGCTTCAATTGCTGCCCTTTGACGTGCTGCTTCAGCTTCCATTTCTGCTCTCTTTTTAGCATATGCAAGCCTCTGCTTCGGCACGGGCATTTATAAGCTGTTCACTAAGCGTTGAGTGCCTTGAACTTTGGGATCTAGAGGAACTTTTAGAATGTCTGGTGGATACGGATCTGTGAGATACAGTGTCCTGTGGCTGCTTTAATTTTGCTTCTGCCTTTGCTTTAGTTAGCAGGATAAAGCTTTCTCTTTCCATGTTAAGAAGCTGGGCATTGTTAAGTTGCTCTAATGATTCTTCAGTATTAATGTTTTGCAGAATAGTTATATATTTATTGCTTGTAGTCTGGTACAGTTCATATGAAGCAGAGAGATGTTTTATGACGCCCTCTAGTTGCAGTACCTCATGGCTGGGACATGAAATCACATCAATGTAGGTGAGGATTTTATCCCAAATCTGCTTCAAACTGGTTGCTAGTTCAGTTTTCATGGATTCATAGTTCTCTTTAACCTTCCATGTGGGTTTCACAGAGCGTTTAGCTAATGCACTGGGCTCTGGGTCCTCATCCTGGCTTTCTCCATGTGGTGCATGCTGTGGTGTTTCACATACTGAGCCCTTTCTACTCATGATGGCCTGAGGTACACAGGCTTGGCTGTAGCAGTGAAGTGTGTCTGTATACTATGTGGGGCTGTAACAAACAGTTACACTTCGCTATGATCTGTCCTGTGACACAGCAATCTCTGAACAAGCTGCTGGATACATTCTTTTACTATTCTGGACCGGCTGCAGAGGCTATGAATGTGTTTTTCAGGAGCACATGGCGCTCATTGCCCTGATGAGATTATCCATACCAAATCACCTTCTCAGATAGTTTACTCAGTCACAACTCACATGTAAGAAGATCTGGCGATGTTTATTCGTCGTATGATCTGTAGGATGTGCAGTTACGACAGGTAAAAGAACAATTCCTCCATACAGGATAGCAGAGATACAAGTCACATATGAATGTACAGCATAGAATACACTAGAACAGAAAAAGGGGAGGGGAGTACCTGGAGCAGCATGCAAACTATGGAGTGGCCCAAGGGACAAACTTAAGATGAACATTAAAGAAACCGTACATTATAATAAAACAATATCATGTAACATGACAGTTCCGCCGCTACACGTTGGGCCCGGGCGGCCAGGTCCCCCAACCCTCATGGTTGTCACCCCCTGATAGCGGCCCTGAGTATCTATACACCGATAATAAACATGTCGCTCTGAATAATAATACCGAGTATCTATACGCTGATAATAAACATGTCGCTCTGTATAATAATACTGAGTATCTATACGCTGATAATAAACATGTCGCTCTGTATAATAATACTGACTATCTATACGCTGATAATAAACATGTCGCTCTGTATAATAATACGACCAATACCGCCGCACTGATAATAAGCATGGCGGCTCACAATATAATAATGCGAATTATCTATACACTGATAATAAACATGTAATAGCTCGAGTATAATAATACTGAGTATCTATCGCTGATAGCAAGCTTAGGCTCTGTGCCGTATACCCGAGGTATCTATACACTGATAATAAAACAAGCGACACTGCGGTATCACATACGTGTATGGCGGCTCTGTATAATAATACGAGTATCTATACTTTTGGCTGATAATAAACATGTCGCTCTGTATAATAATACTGAGTATCTATACGCTGATAATAAACATGTCGCTCTGTATAATAATACTCAGTATCTATACACTGATAATAAACATGTCGCTCTGTATAATGATACTGAGTATCTATACACTGATAATAAACATGTCACTCTGTATAATAATACAGAGTATCTATACGCTGATAATAAACATGTAGCTCTGTATAATAATACTGAGTATCTATACACTGATAATAAACATGTAGCTCTGTATAATAATACAGAGTATCTATACGCTGATAATAAACATGTAGCTCTGTATAATAATACTCAGTATCTATACACTGATAATAAACATGTCGCTCTGTATAATAATACTGAGTATCTATACGCTGATAATAAACATGTCGCTCTGTATAATAATACTGAGTATCTATACGCTGATAATAAACATGTCGCTCTGTATAATAATACTGAGTATCTATACGCTGATAATAAACATGTCGCTCTGTATAATAATACTGAGTATCTATACGCTGATAATAAACATGTCGCTCCGTATAATAATACTGAGTATCTATACACTGATAATAAACATGTCACTCTGTATTATAATACTGAGTCTCTATACCCTGATAATAAACATGTCGCTCTGTATAATAATACTGAGTATCTATACGCTGATAATAAACATGTCGCTCTGTATAATAATACTGAGTATCTATACTCTGATAATAAACATGTTGCTCTGTATAATAATACGAGTATCTATACGCTGATAAACATGTCTCTCTGTATAATAATACTGAGTATCTATATGCTGATAATAAACATGTCACTCTGTATAATAATATCGAGTATCTATACGCTGATAATAAACATGTTGCTCTGTATAATAATAACGATTATCTATACGCTGATAATAAACATGTCGCTCTGTATAATAATACCGAGTATCTATACACTGATAATAAACATGTCGCTCGGTATAATAATGAGTATCTATAAACTGATAATAAACATGTCGCTCTGTATAATAATACTGAGTATCTATACGCTGATAATAAACATGTCGCTGTGTATAATAATACTGAGTATCTATACGCTGATAATAAACATGTCGCTCTGTATAATAATACCGAGTATCTATACGCTGATAATAAACATGTCGCTCTGTATAATAATACCGAGTATCTATACGCTGATAATAAACATGTCGCTCTGTATAATACTCCAAGTATCTATACGCTGATAATAAAGATGTCGCTCTGTATAATAATACGAGTATCTATACGCTGATAAACATGTCTCTCTGTATAATAATACTGAGTATCTATATGCTGATAATAAACATGTCTCTCTGTATAATAATACTGAGTATCTATACGCTGATAATAAACATGTTGCTCTGTATAATAATAACGAGTATCTATACGCTGATAATAAACATGTCGCTCTGTATAATAATACTGAGTATACACTGATAATAAACATGTCGCTCTGTATAATAATACTGAGTATCTTTACGCTGATAATAAACATGTCGCTCTGTATAATAATACCGAGTATCTATACACTGATAATAAACATGTCGCTCTGTATAATAATACGGAGTATCTATACACTGATAATAAACATGTCGCTCTGTATAATAATACCGAGTATCTATACGCTGATAATAAACATGTCGCTCTGTATAATAATACTGAGTATCTACACGCTGATAATAAACATGTCGCTCTGTATAATAATACTGAGTATCTATACGCTGATAATAAACATGTCGCTCTGTATAATAATACTGAGTATCTATACACTGATAATAAACATGTCGCTCTGTATAATAATACTGAGTATATATACACTGATAATAAACATGTCGCTCTGTATAATAATACAGAGTATCTATACGCTGATAATAAACATGTCGCTCTGTATAATAATACTGAGTATCTATACGCTGATAATAAACATGTCGCTCTGTATAATAATAACGAGTACCTGTTATGTTTGACGATAGCTGACTGTTGTGCAGATAATTCCTCCCTCCGTATACAGACAGATACTCGGCACTCTCCTATAGCTGCACACAGTTGATCAGCCTGGGGGAGAATTAGATTAGGTAAATGACTACTAACTGTATTGTGTTAACTTATAGACAGAAAGCAACGACACAAGGGGGAGGGGAAACAGAGGGAAAAGGAACCTTGAAATTATACAACATCCGGAATGTAACGGGGGAGGGACAATACAGAGACTGCCGTACAATACACAGAGCTGGATACAATACAGAGCCTGCCGTACAATACACAGAGCTGGGTACAATACAGAGACTGCCATACAATACACAGAGCTGGATACAATACAGAGCCTGCCATACAATACACAGAGCTGGTACAATACAGAGACTGCCATACAATACACAGAGCTGGGTACAATACAGAGACTGCCATACAATACACAGAGCTGGGTACAATACAGAGACTGTCATACAATACACAGAGCTGGGTACAATACAGAGACTGTCATACAATACACAGAGCTGGGTACAATACACAGAGCTGGGTACAATACAGGGACTGCCATACAATACACAGAGCTGGGTACAATACACAGAGCTGGGTACAATACAGGGACTGCCATACAATACACAGAGCTGGGTACAATACAGAGCCTGCCATACAATACACAGAGCTGGGTACAATACAGAGACTGCCATACAATACACAGAGCTGGGTACAATACAGAGACTGCCATACAAACACAGAGCTGGATACAATACAGAGACTGTCATACAATACACAGAGCTGGGTACAATACACAGACTGCCATACAATACGCAGAGCTGGGTACAATACAGAGCCTGCCATACAATACACAG